TCAAAAAGGCGAAGACTGTAGAGATCGGGTGCACCATTCGCAAATGTGTACAAAAATGTTACAGGTGGGTGTGGTTCCTTAGAGAATGCATTTAAAAAGCTCCCATTAGCAGGATACAGAAAGACCACCGCAAATCACTCCATGCTAACCACGATGCAGTGATGTGAACACAGTAAACCAGCACCGAGCAGAAGAATGGCATCGAGATTTGGTTGAGCAATTTTTTTTTTACTGTCCTATCTGTTTTTTGGGCTTTATGCAGCACACTGGCACGGGATATTTACCAGCAGAAGCATATGCCGGTATACTTCTCCATTCACGTTCTTGCGCTTTACAGTTATATACTGTCTTCAATAGACATAACAAAAATTTACAGTTGTCTTCACGTCACATCAATATTTGACAGCATCGTATTTGGATACTTTTTTGATTCTCCATTACAGTAGACCCCCTCGCTAATCGCAGGGGATCACTATGAATGGTGAAACCTGCAAACAGTGGGAGGCAGAACTCTGCTGCCGCCAAATAGCAAAACCACCAAGTTTTCTGCCTGTTCTAATGACAGAACAAACACGATGGTGCGATGGAGGGTAAAAGCAGGCTGAAGATCGCATCACATGACTGGACCATGAATACCTGAAATAATATTCACGAATTCACCAACGGTGAGAATCTACAATACCAGATTTGCGTGGCAGTGATCTACGTACTTCAATGGGGCGGGGGGGGATCCCACATATACTTAACTACAAGTCTATTTCTAGAAATCCTATGTAGCTACTATAGAAAATGGGAGAAAGCAGCACTCAACAGAGACAGACATCAGTTGGAGTGAGTTTATTAGAAGTTAGAAAGACAAATACACAAGGTCACCCAACACCAAGATTAGTAGAGAAAAGCATAAATGCTGAAGTTCCACACGAAGACTAAACAGTGCTGCTACTTTAGTGTAAGCATAAGCAAAAGACATCCAGAGTTCCATATTGATGTTAAACCGTGTTATAAGGTCTCTAAATACATTTTAAAGCACTGTGAGCACATGCCTTACTTTTTTTTTTAAATAATGATCATTTCTTAATAAACAATTTGTTCTGTAAAGGTCACCATCATGCTATTTTTAAGAATACCTTGTAGGATACTTTTTTTTTTAAACTACCTTTCATCAGAGAGAAACAGCTACTTATGAACTTGGTTCTTAAATTTGTTCACTCTCATCTGTTTTACACAGCAAATGGTTATTGACACCACATTTCGTAAGACTAGATAACGGTATCTGGCAAAGCTACACATGTACAGGAAAGAAAGAGGGATCCCCACCACCACCACACACACCCCGGTCCCACCAAAAAAGAGACACCAGCACTGAAGGAGTGGCCATTTCGTTTTGTGTTTTTTAAAAAACAAGAAGTGTAGCTCTGACAAGAATCTTAAAGGGGTTGCTAAATACACAGCAGTCAGCAGTGGAGAGAAGTTAGAGCTCGAAGATGGTGCACGCCCAGCCATGCAGAAGACAGGGTAAGAATCAGAAAAGGCATCTAGGCCTGTCAGACAGAAATGGAGAGAGAAAGAAAGAGAAAAAAACCTGAATGAAACTGTTGGGGGGGATGGGGACGACAGTCAACAGTTTTCCAGTTTCGGGAATTAACAGTATTTCTAGGTCATACAATTTAACTGGGGTCTCCCCTTCTTGAGAGGGTGTTATTTAAACAAACCCCTGACGTCGGCAGGAGTCATTCCTCTTACGTTCATAATATAATTGACAGCCAATGAGACCTTTGAGATCATAAGCCTGTGGGCAGACATCTTGATTTTTTTTTTTTTTTTGGTCTAGGTTTTATACCGCAGAGCTGCTGCTTTTGTGGGTGCTTCAGAAAGAAGCCTCTTCTTTTAATAGGATTGGGGGTTTTTTTTAAATGATGCCCATACATAAAACAGGAAGGTAAAATACATTTTGATTTAAAATGATGACACACAACAAGTGAGTTTTCAGCTAAACCAAAAAAAAAAAAAAAAAGTGCACGAGCCAAAATAAAGTGATAAGAAACAGAACTGGAACAGGGCGCATTGATTTAAGCTTTTATCTTCCGTGAAAAGCACTAAGTAGTGAGAAGGCGGGGCAGGGCTCAGGGGCAGAGCCCCTGCCTGGCATGCAAACAGGTCCCTGGTCCAATCCATGGCATCTTCAGTTAAAGGATCTGGCTATAGGTGATGTGAAAGACCTCTGCCTGAGATCCTGGAGAGCCGCTGCCAGTCTCAGTAGACAATACTTGATGGGCCAAAGATCTGATTCAGTATAAGTTAGCTTCGTGTGTTCATGCAAGATGCGTCCCTGCCCAAATTTCCACCAACTAGCTCATTTCAGAGCTATCATTCCATTTGAGCAATGAGTTTCATGCTGTGTTCCATAAAACCCTGGCCTGACTCAGAAGCTCATCAGGAACTCCTTAATGTCAAGATCAGTGATTGAGAACAAGCTTTCCAAAAAGACAGCCTGCATTACCACTACAAACACTGCAGATGTTCCACAGCAGGCACCTAGAGATTCTTCAGTGGAGAAGAGGTTGTGGAAAAGCTTCGTTGGGAAGTGAAGAAGTCTGAAAGTCACTGCATGAAAAGGATGTTAAAAGGCCCTGCTGAGATGAGCTCAGATTAGCCACAAAGCAGAGTAAAGAACTGTTATCCATGGCCAGGATAACAAGAGCCCACTGTGCGCAGCTTCAAGTGCACATACCAAGAGGCTCCGTGCAGTAGGCACTGCGGAAGTGTTGCAATACCAAGAAGCCGAAACACCCTGAATAAAAGGTGAGATTAGCTCGTTAACTACGTTTTCTTAGAATTTTATCAGAAATAGTCTGAAATCAGTGGGTGGTCCTGACACAACAGCGTGTAGGTCTCTGAAACTTGGAGGCAAAAGCAGCCTTTTCTACAGGTTTGCTGACTAGTTTGAGTCAGAGTCAATGATTTTATTAATTAAAATATCTGTAACCAGCCTTTCCTCTTGGCTCAGTTTTGCAGTGACAGACACTCAAGACATGAATCCTACACTAATTCCTCTGGGTCAATTTAGAAAACGCTATGGGAGAATGGAAGGTCTACCCCCGCCCTGTAAAGTTAGGTACCCTGGCCCCACCTCTGGGACTGTCCAATGTTGAACTCCCATACAATATTTGCATATCATTTATGTATAAACACCATAGCGCATGCAGGCCCTAGACGCACATTTTCTCTACTAGGCCAAGAAGCAGGACATGTGTGCCCAATGAATGAACCGGGTACGTTCATCTTTGCTGTCTGTTACACGTTATGGTCGTCTTTCCATGTTTGCCTCTTTCACATTTTCAACCTTCTACTCCCAATTATGATCAAATTCTAATGGCAAAAAATGAGGCAAGGAGGACACTTCATCTTTGGGAAACTGATTTCAGTCACTGGAATGAAAGGGAAAATTGCAGGAAAGCTAACTGGAAACTGAGTCAAATTCATGTGGGAAGGGCATTTCTGCTGCCACCACATTTTAAAAACAAAAACAAAGAATACAACAAATATTGGATCTTGGATTCCATGTTAAAAGGCCCTGCTGAGATGAGCTCAGATTAGCCACAAAGCAGAGTAAAGAACTGTTATCCACGGCCAGGACAACAAGAGCCCTATGTCTAGCTATGTTACTGAGAACGCCATCTTGCTTTTAAAAGTCTTAACATCTGGAAGCGAATAGAGGAGCACCAAAATTGTTTTAGGATGTTATTTAACTGTTTGTTATTTGTCTATGTGTAATTTAACATTTTATATTGTTTTATCTGGCATTATGCCCTGTTAGCCGCCCTGAGCCTGCGGGGAGGGCGGGATAGAAATCTAAATAATAAATAAATAAATAAATGGAAAGTCTCCACTAATGGGAAGTTACTTCCTCATCTCCCACTGCTTGGCCCAGACCAAAACGAATCCCGAAATGCTGCTCCTGAGGAACAGGGAACAACCCAGGAACAGCATAAGGAGGGAGCGGAAGATATTCGGAAGGAAATAAGGAAAAGGGGGCAATTCCCCTGTGTCTGTCCAAGCTCCATCGAGGAAAAGTGGGCTTAGAATATGATACGCAATCCTTATTTCTGCTTAATACCAAGAAGTAGATTACTATTGTGGCAAAGAAAACAGCAGAGTGAATATCTACATAATTAGCAGAGAATGGCAACATGAAATAGGGAAAAAAATGAAAAGAAGGCAAAATCAACTACAAATCAGAACACGAACATAAAAAGGTTCCATAAAGAAAGCAGGTGAGAGTCAACCCAAAGTCAACTAGAAATAAAAACATATCAATGCCCTATCCTTCTCAAAGTGGGCGATTCTACTCTAGAAAGGGTTTGTTTGTTTTTAATTTGAATATTTTTGGTCGGAGTCACTGACCTAGAAATACTGTTTAGTCATTTCCTCGAGTGCCCGTTATCAATCCCAAACCTGCATGCTTTTTAAGTTAAAAGGCAAACAGAGATTTATTTATTTGTTTTTTTAAAAAAGCTTTTTCTCACACTTGGGAAATGTGAAGGCATGCCAAGTATAGAAGAAAATGAGGGAAGAGTACAGTACACAGTTCTAATGCTGAGTGGACAAATTAAGGAGCTAATTAAGGTGGCAAAGTTTTTGCATTATATGCTGATTGACTGTCTTAGCACTGCTAACAACGGAACTGCTCCGATACAGAAACATATCCCATCTCAAAAGAGCAAGAGAAAAATAATAAAGCTGTTTGGAGCACCCATTAGGATCTTCCAGATCCAGCAAGCATCAACAGAACTTGTAATGACAGAGGTTTTGGAAGCGAATCAATAGCCTGGACGTCCAAAAGCAAGAGAGCTTAGAAAACCCTATAACTACTGCAATCCGACTAAACATCTGTAAAGCTGAATTAATCCGGAAGCAGACAGGCAAGGTGATCTTGGGCAGCTAACAACGTGTACTAGCTAGTACCCAGTTTAAGAGAAAATAGTAAAACGATCCTAGTATCACTAAAAGCTTTGACTGGCTTCACTTGTAAGACCACAAGTAAGCAGAAAAGGGTCAGCTGCGTGTTAATGCAATGACGGCAGTCTAAAGGGAGAGCGTGTTGTTATTGCCACTCGCGTGACACGCATTTTACATTTAAAGCAGTGAGAACTAGACATCACAAGGCAGAAAAGGTCTCGCTTTAATCGAGGATTCGGCAGGCCTCCCTGGGTGACAGGGAATGGTTGCTTATCACGTACACGCCGGTGAAATGTTGTTTTTGCACCACACCGATGCCGTGAAAACAGCAAGAGCGTTGCACACAATAGCCAAATTTGGCAACACCATTCATGACACCTGGAAAAGAAGCCGAGGTGACAGTAGAGGTGGGGAGGGGTCACTGACCCTCTTACCCAGAAGTGTTCTCTTTAACGAGAACTATTGGGCTACCCTTCCAAACCAATCCCATTCTATTACACAGCAGCGCTTGCTGTTATGCCAGAGTAAAAGGAAACCTTTTGAGACATAAAGGGGAAGAGGGGGAAAGTAAACAAGTAAAGCAATTGCAGTCCTTGTGCTATAACCAACAAACGGACAAACCGCTATCGAGGATTAGGTCCTAGACATTAACCAGGACATTCAATCAGCATTCCAGCATCCAAAGTTTTAATTCCTAGGTAACTTTTACCCCTGTGGGAACTACAGTTACTCAGTTGTTAAGGAAATGACAAAAGATCTTGTATCTTTTGCTCAAATCTGGGTAAGTGTATGAGCCAAGGATGTCCCTAAACACACGACAGGATCACAACTTAACTGCCAGGGCGGTATACCAACCTAGATTATTTTCTTACACTGTGTACTGTACTTACCCCATTCCATTCTACGCTCATACTCACTTCCTCTCCTCCGTCAGGGCCGCTCTCATACTTTACCACGTCGACATTGAGGCTCTCGCGGCTTCGCCTTCTCTCTATACTCTCTGGGTCATTCAGCACTTCAGCAACTCTCTGTTTGTGAACATTGTCAAGACCCTGTGAGCCAGGGAAATGGACATTTTATTTCACTTTGAATCCAGGTAAATAACAAGAGATTTTTCACTTCACTCACTGAACGGCATGGAACGGCACAGTAAGTTTAATCAAATTACAAGAAAGGCTACATAATATATTACATACTTCATGCATATCTTAGTCTTTATTCTTGATAGACAGATGATGATGAAGAAATTGGATTTATACCCCGCCCTTCACTTGGAGTCTCAGAGCGGCTTATAAACTACTTTCCCTTCCCCTCCCCACAACAGACACCCTGTGAGGTAGGCGGGGCTGAGAGAACTCAGAGAACTGTCCTTGAGAGAACAGCTCTGACAGAACTATGGTTTGCCCAAGGTCATCCAGTAGCTGCAAGTGGAGGAGTGGGGAATCAAACCCGGTTCTCCCAGATTAGAAATAGATGATATACACACACACTTGTACATATGTAAGCATAACTAGCACCTAACAAACTACATATTAAACAAAAAATTATAAGGGGTTGGGCTCTGAATCTGTTCCACTAAGAACAGATTTAAGGAGAAAGAACACAGCACAGGATTCAAGTCAAACTTACATTGGAGAAAGTATCCTTTCTATACCATCAACTTCACCAAAATAGCTGTTGCAAGAACAACTCTGGCAGCCTTAGAATCACAGAGTTGGAAGGGGCCATACAAGCCATCTAGCCCACCCCCCTGCTCAGTGCCTCCTGCTCAATGTTATGGAGTTGGAAGGGGCCATACAGGCCATCTAGCCCAACCCCCTGCTTAGTGCCTCCTGCTCAATGTTATAGAGTTGGAAGGGGCCATACAGGCCATCTAGTCCAATCCCCTCTTCTATTCTAACCAGGTTTGCTTCCATCAGTAACTTCTAACCCTAGCCTAAGGGTGTCACCATGCAAAGGCCTGCTCATACAATAGGGATTTTCTGGTCTCCACTTTTCCTTATGGCTCCTTGACTCCATGGCCCCGCCCCCAGTTCTCATTGAGATGGAAAACACTCTGGAGTAAGACTCAACAGGGTATGAATCTTACTCAAGACCTTCCCAGAAATATCCAATGTGGTTTTCAGGGGAGGAAGGGAGGTGCAGGAGTATTTACCATTCAAGTATGGGGAATTCACTGATTTCCAAAGTTTTAACTATTCTTCCACAAAATCGTTCTTCCCTGACATGGCATCCCTAATGCTTCATGGCATCCGCTGACAGCTTTCCTGGCCCCCACCAAATGTTTTTGGAAAGTGGACAGGGCCAGGTGGGGTTCCTGCCCAGCAGGGCTTCTCATTGGCTACCGGAGATCTGACTGGATGTGCAGACTGAAATGACATTGTTTCAGTTGCCGCCGCCGCCACCTGTGTTCATTTTATTCTCTCTCTCGCTCCTCTTTCCCAGTGTATTCCCTGTATGTTCATTTTTAAAATTGTCCACTGCACTTGGGGGGGGGGGGCCTCCACCTCCCAGGTCAGCCATTATATGGCTGTGCCCACCACCCCAGGTCACCATGCCGGGTAAATTTGGACTTGGGGGTCACCATCCCCAAAAGGTTGAGAACTGCTGGCTTAGAGGACAGGATCATAGGTAGCTTCTTGTCCTTTGTTTTTAATAGGATATAATTTAGGTTACCTCCAAAAGAGCTCAGCCTCTAGGATACGGGTCTGAAGCTGAGTTAACTTCTGAGGAAGTTAACCACCCAGATTTTCAGCAGAGACTTCTACATAAGAACATTAGAGACGCCAATGTTGGATGAGGCCAGAGGCCCATCCAGTCCAACACTCTGTGTCACACAGTGGCCAGAAATACCAGTGCCATCAGGAGGTCCACCAGTGGGGCCAGGACATTAGAAGCCCTCCCACTGTTGACCCCCCGAAGCACCAAGAAGACAGAGCATCACTTGCCTCAGAGCCCCTATCTATACCTTGTGGCTAATAGCCACTGATGGACCTCTGCTCCACATGCTTATCTAATTCCCTCTTGAAGCCGTCCATGCTTGTAGCCACCACCACTTCCTGTGGCAGTGAATTAACAGGTAGCTATTAAATGAGAACACTGCATGCATGGCAAACCTTAGAAACTGAATACTCATATCTACCCACAAAAGGCTTCTCAATGGCACTTCTAAGCTTCAAGGTGGGTGGCAGCATTAGCCTGTCTGCAGCAGCAGAAAAGAGCAAGAGTCCAGTAGCATCCTAAAGACTAACAAGATTTGTGGCAGGGTATCAGCTATATTAATAATAATCTGAAGAAGTGAGGAGTAACTCATGAAAGCTCATCCCCTGCCACAAATTTTGTTAGAGAGGAGGAGGAGGAGGAGATTGGATTTATACCCCGCCCTTCACTTGGAGTCTCAGAGCAGCTCCCCACAACAGACACCCTGTGAGGTAGGCAGGGCTGAGCTTTTTCCAGAACTGTCCTTGAGAGAACAGCGCTGACAGCGCTGACAGAACTATGGTTTGCCCAAGGTCATCCAGCAGGTGCATGTGGAGGAGTGGGGAATCAAACCTGGTTCTCCCAGATTAGAGTATGCGCATTTAACCACTACACCAAACTTTAAGGATGCTGCTAGACCCTTGCTCTTTTCTACCTCTAAGCTTGCTATTGTCCAGTGGGACAGTTTCCACCTGTTCTTGTGACCACATAATAGCAGTTTGAGAAAACAAGGAAAACCCTGTCAAAGCCTGCAGGGTCATGACAGAAGCTTCATGTAACTTCCTCAGAGCCAGCTCACTTTTACAACCCATCACATCTTTCAGTGATTCTGCTCTGTTCTGGGGACCAACTGCCCCAAACGAACAAAACAAGTGGAGTGTCCATTGGCAGAATCTGCAATAAGTAAAGAGCACCAATCGGAAGA